ACCAAAGGAAGTAGTCCGGTGCCGCGAACGGTGGTGGTCACTCTGCTCAGCTACGATAGAAATACCTTCAACCAGCTCAAAACCCACTACCGGGTGAACAATACCTGCATCTGCACGCGAGGTGCAGAGAGTAAAATGAGTACTCCAACTCAGTGAGTAATAAAACTAAATAATAACTGAGCAGCAAGAAATCACGTAAAGCAACCAACATGCTATACAAAAGCCGGGTGCAATTTTCTGAGAAAAACAGTAAAATCTGTGAAATCTTTAGAAATACCTTGGCTCAGTTCAAATCTCTTTTAAAAATGATCTTTTCAGTGATTACGAAAACGATTTCAAAACAGTTAGTGCTGATACGCGCAGAAAATCCGCCCCTCGGGCACAAATACTACGGTATAATAGGTAAAGAGGCAAATAAGTATGCAAGATGAGCACATAAAAGTTCGCCCATCGGGCAATATCTCAATACAGTACCCGCCCCTCGGGCATGATTTATGTTCCTGGTCAGTCATTGTTATCTGACCGGTCAGCCATTGTTACCTGACCAAAACGCGTATTACAGTGCCATTGTTACCACTGGTCAATCATTGTTACCTGACCAAAACGTGTACAACAGTGCCATTGTTACCACTGTCTAACATTTATCCGCTCTAGATGGGTACCTGCGCTCACTGTGGGGGTGCAGACTCCGTAGGGGCTCCTACAGCCCAAGCACTATATCATCATAAGGCCTGAAAGCCTGTACATATCAACATGAGGCCTGAAAGCCTTCTCACAATACACTCGAGTCCTAAAAGCCTCCTCACATATCACTCGAGGCCTGAAAGCCTCCTCACATCACTCGACATATCCTCACATATGGCCCTCGGCCTCAATCAGTCCAAAAATAATCATAAGCCCCTCAGGAATCAGTAAAGACAATAATGCTCAGCTCTAACAATAGTTCAAACATCAGTTAACACTCAAGGTTGAGTAAAAATATAGTTGAGTTCATGAAACAGTGTAATTCAAATGGACTGAGTTCAAATAATATTTCAAATAGTGAGGAAAACAGTGATGATAGCTCACAAGGATTTCAAACAGTCGGCAATAAGCCCCAAGTATGGCAATCAGCCCAAGTCATGATAATATCAAATAAGTTTCAGTCAAATACGCGATAAAATCAACAATCGGGACGGACCAAGTCACAATCCCCAGCGGTGCTCTACCCCACGCTCGCTATCCGGCGTGCAAGTCACCTCAATATAGCACTACGACATGCAAATCTGGGGTTTCAAACCCTCAGGATATAATTTACAATCATTACTCACCTCGAACCGGTGAAATCTCTAGCTTGCGACGCCCTTGCCCCATCAAATTGGCCTCCACGCGCGTCGAATCTAACCAAAATCAGAGCGAATACATCACAACATGCTAAGGGAACAGTACCCAATTGAAAACAATCGAAAATATCAAGAATCTCGAAATTAGCAAAACCCGAGCCCCGGGCCCACTTCTCGAAAAATTAGAAAATTATCATCACCGGATTCCTTATCTCGCCACGAGTTCATACATACCAAGAACTCTCAAATCCGAGCTCAAATGGCCTATCAAATGCCCAAATCAATTTTCAAATTCTCAAGCCCTAGTTCTTAAATTTTAGGCTTAATTTCCATGAATTTCTAGATGGATTTCACAATAAGAACGAGTTTTAAGTTCAAAAATCTTACCTCCAATCGATTCTCCTTGAATCCCTCTTCGATTTCCTTCAAAAAGCTCCCAAAAAGATCAACAATGGAGTAAATGAGCCCCAAAATCGCGGATGAAATGTATAAACATTCTAGCCCAGGTCACTGTAGCTAACCCTATGCGATCGCATCTCAACCTCTGCGATCGACATAGCACAAAATTTCCAATCCCTCAAAATACCCTATCGCGATCACAACACATGCTACTGCGATCGCAATAGCCATCGACATCCAACACCTGTGCCGATCGCAACCCAAACTCTAACGTCATCCGTANNATAAGCGATACCGCTTCTGCGGTCCAAATTCTGCAGAAGCGAAAACATACCAGAAGCAACAGACTTAGCACATGAAAAATTCCGAAACTCTCCTTTTAACCATCCGAACTCACCCCGAGGCCCCCGGGACCTCAACCAAAAATACCAATACGTCCTAAAACATTATTCAAACTTGTTCCAATCATAAAAACACCACGATTAACACTAAAACCATCAAATTACATCAAATTCAAGCCTAAGTTCTTCAAATTCTTCCGAAACTCGCATTCGATCAAAAACCCAACCAAACCACCTCCGAATCATCTGAAATTTTGCACACACATCCTAAATCACCTAACAAAGCTACTGCAACTCTCGGAATTGCATTCCGACCCTCGGATAAAAATCTCACCTATCAACCGGAATTCGCCAAAACACTAACTTCGCCGATTCAAGCCTAATTCTACACCGGACCTCCAAAATCAATTCCGATCACACTCCTAAGTCACAAATCATCCCCCGAAGCTAACCGAATCACCGGAAATCACATCTGAGCCCTATTACTCATAAGTCAACCTCCAGTTGACTTTTCCAAACCAAGCCTTCCTTAAAGAGACTAAGTGTCTCATTTCTTATCAAAACCAATCCAAATTAACTCTAACACACCAAATACCGATAACGAAACATGAAGAAGCATAAAATGGGGGAAACGGGCGGTAGCTCCTGAGATGACGGGTCGGGTCGTCACATTCCCACAGTGGAAACACTTGCAAGATCAATTTGGATGTATTCAAAATTAGTTTACAAATTGATTGGTAGGCTTTTTATTCTAGAAAATTTGTCAATATAGATTGCACTTGTAGCTTTAATGTATTCTCTTGTTAAAAATTCAAATACAGTGGGAAAATAATACCATTCAAATCAATTTTTCAGTTTGATGTTTATATTTGATATGGATGTTAAAATGAGTATTATAGCACATAATCTATTTATGTTAATTGAAGCAACTTAAGCAGATAAACTAATTGTAAGTTGTGATCCCCAATATCATTCTCTATCAGTTATTAAATGGATATAATAATGGGGGAATGATACAGTTAACCACAAAAATAAAATTATTTGCCCTAGTCTACCCATAAATTAATTACATTTCCTACCTATAGTAGTTTTTGTGGGAATTTTTTTCCTTATTCTTCGATTCTTTTTTATTTCTATGCTTATTTTTTTCTTTTCTCCTTCTTTTCTCGTTTTCTTCTTATTTTTTTTCCTTTTATAATTTCATCTAACTTTTTTTTTATATTCTTTTTCTCTTCATAATCTAATTTCATTTATTGTTTTCACTATTTTTTATTATTCTTTTTTAAACTATTACTAAAGAAATATCAAATTGTGTACTAATTAAATGTAACTAATACAATTACAAAATATTAATTAAATATGATATCGGTATATTATATAGCTATAACAACATGGTATACAATTGTACGCAAAGAGTTAAAAAAAATTTAATTCAATTATTAAACTGAAATAATTTCAATTGTCAATAAAAATTTCAAAAAACTCTAAAAGGGTCTAATTGTATGAGCATACCATTACATTATATAGCATACTATAATATATTTTTTTTAGCATTTTTAATTTGCCCCTCATGTTGGGTAAAAGCTTAAAGCAAATTAAAAAGGAAAAGGCAAGTGAATTTACGGATAATAAGTATACTATTATAGTATATTGTATACTATTGCAGTATACTGTTATAGTATATTGCATATTATTACAATATACTATAACAATACATTGTATACTATAATAGTATACTATTGCAGTATAACTATATACTCCTATAATATATTCTATACCGTAGAGGTATACTGTTAGGTAACTGTGTTCTTCTTTGATTATTACAATATACTGTTGCAGTATATTGTAAACTATAATAGTATATTGTTGCATTATAGCTATATACTGCTACCGCATATTGTATACCGTAGAGGTATACTATTGGGTAGCTGTGTTCTTCTTAGATTTTCAGCTTAAAATTTCGATCTCAATCACCTCAAATCAGCTCCAAATGCTATCAAATTTCAGTATGAACTTTCAAAAGGTACTATAAGTAATATTTAACTGCACCCACTTTGAATCAAACAAGAAATCTTCAAAAACAAAATTGAGCTTCAAGCCCAACAGTGGTGGATATTCAAATACACATAAAATTTTTGATATGGGAAGCTTACTCGAAAATACTATAAGCAATATTTTATAGCACCACATCGAATCAAACAAGAAATCTTCAAAATAAAATTTCAAATTGTGGAGCTTCAAGCCCAACAATGGTGGGTCTTCATACACACATAAAAATCATAAGAAGAGGAGGTAGAGCAATAGCTTGGGTTGACCCACTTAATGAAGATCTTTTTTAAATTTTGGGTCTGGATTTTGCTTCACAGTGTGGTTGTTACGAAGGGAGGATTATGGTATTTTTTTTGCTTCATTGAGATTTGCACACAAGACCTCTCAAATTCTTCCTCTGAAGGTTTCTCCCGAGGTAACGTTAAATTTTGCCGGATAAATAGTCTTGGTTGCATAGGTAGGAAAAGTAAATAATTTATGTTTGGGTATTTAAGAGTAAATAATTTAGACTTAATGGGTATAAAGTGAGATTTAATGATTCATTTACTTATTAAAAAACAACAATTTTAAATTTAAAATATTGGGCCCATTTACGGGTCTTTCCTCATCTAGTTTACTACAATGTAGATTATTTGGTTGGTTTACAGTGAAGTGCGTATTTTGTAATAAAGTCATGATTATAAATGCAAATTTGCATTGCAATAGTATGTTTGGATTGACTTATTTTGAGTGGTTATTGGCTTTTAAACACTTTTTTAATTTGTATGGTATTTTACAATGATAAAAAGTGCTTAAAAACACTTACTTTTGAATTTTAGCTTTAAAAAGTACTCTTTTATAAGCCAATCTAAACCCACTGCCGGGTTCAGATGTCATCAAAAACCCTTCTTACATCTTCACTACTTTTTTTTTCTTTTTTTTCCATTCGCCGATATTACTCCCATCCAACTGTCCAAGATAAAAGAAAAAGGATTTAAAAAAGAAGAAGGTTGAACTAAAATTTGTCATATAGATAAAATCTGGTGTTTGTTTAATTCCTGAAAACCCTATCCTCTCTACGATTCTTTTCTTATCACAAAAAAATGGATTCCCTTCTTCTTACATCTTCCCCTGATATTGGAAATTTGCTCAGCTCTTCCTCTCCTTTCTCTAAATGTTATCCTTCCATTTCTTCAGCCAATGGGCACTCTTCTTTCTTCCTATATTTTCTCCACAAGAAACCCTCCTCACATAAACTCAGGACCTCAGTTGTTTCTTCAGCATCAAACAACAACAAGAAAAAGAAGAAATCTGATTCCCATAGTTTTGTTCCTAAACCCGATGAAGCCACTGGTCCTTTTCCTGAAGCTGTTCTCCTTAGAGAGGTTACTTCCTTACTCTATAATCTACCCCCCCCCCCCCCCCTCACATGTAATTAGAATTTAAAAAAAAAAAAATTCTTGCTTGTGCAAATTTTGTATATTTATTCTAGTTTTAATTTACACCCATATGTAATTTTGGTTTGTTTGTCCGGAATTCTGAACAATTTTTGAGCCTCGCCCATTTCAAAACTGTTACTTATTTCCTTATAAAGATTGAGAAGAAAAGAATAAAAATATGGAAAAGATTGAATTTTTATTGGGGTTAGACTAGTTTGTGGTAATGGTTGTACATGTTTAAATTTTTTTCTTGCTTATATGTATGAATTTTTATGTAATTTGAACCCTTTGAATATTGCAATTTATTCAATTTTTCAGAGGAAAACGAATTGAGAACCCTTTCAAACATATTACGATTTCCTTAAAAATTTTGGAAAAATAAATAAATAATGATAATCTTAGTGGGTACACCAGTGGACTAGTTGGTGGTTAAGGGCAGGACATAAGTCCAATTTTCTTTTGCTTATGTATATGAGTTTTGATTTGATTTTGAACCCTTTCACTTTTGAAATTTTGCAGAGGAAGGTCCAAGAAGACGGTAGACTTCTACCTGAGTTTGCAGATGCTGAAGAGAGTAAGACATTGACATGTTGCTCATTGATATCTTATTATGTGAATACTTTTCATTACTAAACTTAGGGTCTAATTTGCAGAGGAACTTTTTGAGGCTCTAAATCTGCAGCTGGAGAGTGATCTGAACGTGGAACAGAGTAAGTATGAGCTTCATATGCTTAAACTTATAGATAGTAGCTGGATATGTTGTCTTCTTTTCTTTGTGCATTTCTTCTTCTAGGTGTGATTAATGCTTAGTTGTTAAGTGTGAGGTTGGAGAACCTTCTACTTTTAGTGACCAGTATCTTTATGAAACTGTCCAATTATATATAGATGATTCATACCACTACTTCCAATTACTTCTGAATTTGAGACTTATTTGATTGATTGATAGAATATAGGACGAAAGGTATGTTGTGAATTAGCATTTTGGATTCTGTGCAACATGTCATCTGCACAATAATATCTGTGTTGCTTGTTAGTGCAAGTAGAAGGAGATGCTTTAGATTGTCTTGTGACATTTGCTCGTGAAATACCACTCTTGTCATATCCTCCACCACCATGCTTACGCCTAGTCCCTCGTTCTGTGGTATCAGATCGAGGTCTGTTTTTCCACCAATGGCCAATGCTTTAATGTTTTGTTTCTTCCAACTATCTATGAGCTTCGGGGATCTGTCACCTACTTTTCTTGAAGACTCAGCTGAAAGATTATAGGCCACCCTCTTTATAATTGACAAGTTGACACCACATTCTTGGTCGTTGGAAGCTAAAATATAAGATTGTATCAGATTAAAGTAGCTTACCCATGAATTCTTGCCAATATTGTTTTGATTAACTCACTTATTGAATTGAAAGAGTGCAGCAAAATTAGCTAGAAATCTATTGTTATGTCTCCATTCTTTTCCTATCAATTTATAGTTGAAATGATCTATTGACTTCCCTGTGTGCAGTGAGACACTATGAAGTGGTATATTTGATTCATGAGGATCGTGCAGACGAGGTCGAGAGTGTGAACACGAAAGTTCAAGGTTAGCCATCCCTTTTACATATATCAACCATCTATTAGTTCTACAAAAGTCCGGTTTTTGATGTGTGGTGTCAAATGTGATAGTGTGTTTACCAAGTTCTTTTGTTAAACTTATATAACACTTCATGGAAATCATGTCAAAACCTAGTATTTCAGAAGTGGTTCGAATCTACCACATGATGCAACAACCACAGTTCTGCTCTCTCGATCCCCTATTCTCTAAAAAATTGATAGCTTTTAGTTTCCTAAACATTATCACTTTTTCCCTGTGATTTACGTTTCTGTTTTCTACATGGTGACTAAAATAACCTTAAACATTTGACATTTTTATAAACATGCAGAATATTTGAAAGAGAAGAAAGGGAAGCTGTGGAGATTCAGTGACTGGGGTATGCGTAGACTGGCATACAAGATTCAGAAAGCATCACGAGCTCATTACATTTTGATGAATTTTGAGTTGGAAGCCAAATGGATTAACGACTTCAAGAGCATGCTTGACAAAGATGAGAGAGTCATACGACATCTAGTGATGAAGCAGGACAAGGCAGAAACAGAGGATTGTCCTCCTCCTCCTGAGTTCCATACCTTGCGTGCTGGTACGGATGATGAAAATGAAGAGGACATGGATGATTTTGATGACTATGAGGAAGACGATTTGGAGGGTGAGGATGACATTGATGATGATACTGACGGTGTTATTCTCGTGGATGTTGACGATAATGTAGATGGTAGGGACAGTAGAAACAGTCAGCAAATTAATACACACAAGATAGGACAAAGGAAAGTGAGTGTGTGAAAATTAGTTAGTACTTACTTTGCTCACTATCTTGGAATTTTGATTACTTATAATTTTATCATTAGATTATAGTTTCCTGAAGTTGGTTCTTGTACCCCTCCCGCTTTTTTTTTTTTTTTTTTTTTTTTTTTTTTTTGGACTGTCCAGCTAAAGGAGACTTTGATAATCCATCCTATAATACCTAGAGCTGTCAAAATGGGCTTAGCCCGTGTGGTCCGCCTAACGCAGCCCGCTACTTGGATAGGGTTGGGCTAGGATTTTTTGAGTCCATTTAAAATTGAGGTTTATAAGTCCGGCCCAAGTCAGTCTGCTGGGCCTTGAGGCTTGACCGAGGCTGGGCTTGGGTCGGTCCATGGGCTAAAAATTAACAAATTAATTAACTATTAAATGTTTGATATTTTAAAAAGTAAAAACTAAAAAGAACTATTAACTATAATCCTCATTCCTCAACCTTAGATTGCTCATTTACCCTTCCATATCAACTAGAAATTATATTTTTGACATGCATGTAATATGACAAAATTAGTTTTTCTTTTGCTTAATTAATAACGAACTCGAAAAGTTTTAGTTGGCCAATAATAATCAATTTTCAAAAGAAAATATTGCTTTAAGTGGCCAATGATCAGTTTGGATTACTTTAATATACTATTAATATTTAAACCGCTCTTTAGTATANATACACCTAAAAAAAAAAAAAAAAAAAAAAACAATTGGCCACTAGCAAGTTTCAGGAATTTTAAAAATTTTATGGTTTATAATGATGAAATCAACAAATGATATTAATCCTAAATTAAAAAACCTCAGCATTTAAACTTATTGAAGAAATCCCTGAATCTGAGGAAAATTAAAGAAAAGCATTAGGAAAATATTCATGTAACTTTAAAAAAGAAGAGTTAGAGATATAGAGAATTTGCATTTCAATTACAAGATTCCTCGTCAAATATCAAGCTTTTTTTACGCTCTAAGCAAATAGAAGTTATTTACATGATTAATCGACTATGTTACGAAAAATATCTAACGATTTAAAAAAATTCTTTTTTCTTAAAAAAAAATTGAAGGGCCGGCCCTTCCTAGCCCGCGGCCCTCTTAGGACTGGGTTTAGCTGGCCAATTAAAGGCCCGTTCATGAGGCGGGCCGGCCCTTCCTAGCCCGCGGCCCTCTTAGGACTGGGTTTAGCTGGCCAATTAAAGGCCCGTTCATAAGGCGGGCCGGCCCGTCCTAGCCAACCAAATATAAAAGATATCACACCAAAGTTGTACAATTAAGACCACAGTGTTGGCGGTTCTCAATATGGGTTTGTTCTATTTATCGTATTGGAGGTTATTGTCACGCTGCAAAATGGATTGCTACGTCGCTAGCAGCTAGTACTACCAACTTGCACCGAGTGAACCATTAAAGTATAAAGCAAACCCAATTTGTTCTCATATATTTCAATTCTTTTAATTAGTGACAATATTAAATGATACAAGTGAGGTGTTCTTCATTTGATTTGGAGTATCGAAACATAATTTCATTAAATAAGAATAAGGAAAGGGACTCCGAGGCATGCGGACGCCGAGCATGCATACCTTGATGTCTCCGTAAAGCAGTTAACAGATGATCTTTAACGACCGGCACGAGCAGACATACTTGGATCTGCACAAAAATGTGCAAAAGCGTAGTATGAGCACACCACAATGGTACCCAATAAGAAATATCAAGCCTAACCTTAGTAGAGTAGTGACGAGGCCAGGTCAAGACACCTACTAGGATATAAATAAACAGTATGAAAATGTTATAAGAATAAATAATGGAAAGCGGAGAAGTACTGGTACGAAACAATTAATAAAATGAACTATACCGAAATTGTAAGCACGTAAATAACATAAAGAAATTAGTTAAAGAGAACCACAATGATCATATACAGACAATCAACTGACAAAAACAAGGTAGAATAAAACAACAAGAATCACACGAGGTACCGCCTCGTGTACAATATGAATGACCACCGAGGTACCGCCTCATGTATATGTATCAAAAATCACAACCGAGGTACCGCCTAGTATTCACAATTCAAAGTCTCAATCACAATATTTTCTTATACCGCCATGTGAGCCTTACATTTGAAATAGGTTTTGAAAACAGTTTTTTTGGAAATAGCTACACGCACTTGAGCCCACCTTATAACGCCGCGTGGCTTCACGTAGTTCCCCCACAAGCAACATGCATATAAGTCTCACCGCATGCACATTAACCCCAAGCCTTATACCGCCGCATGCGCGTCAATAATACATCACAATAACAACTCGCACCACAAGTGCCCATATATCACAACTTGCCAACAATCAACAAAATCAATATTTTCACAATAATAGTCCACGGCTCCAACACAACGTGTACAGGAATATGAACAATAACAATAAATGTAAAACTCTCGACAAGAAAGATATCTTAACAATTATCAACTTCACTTCAAAATGATATGGCTTCCACAACTTCAACACCAATAACCCAACAATAAGAAAGATAACGTGTAACTACGAACAAAATAGAAATAACTCACAATGAAAGGAATAACATGACTTCAAATGAGAATAATAGCAATGAAAGAGATAACTAGTAACAATGGCTTCAAAATAAGAACTAACAATGAAAAAGATAACACGTATAATGACTTCAAGATATGATAATCAACAATGAAAGAGATGACATGTATCTAATAAAGGCAACAAGTTCAACTAAGGCATGAGAGAAATTTATCAAGTAGGATGTAGAACAAGTGTTAAACAAGTCAATTAAGGCATGTAAGGATAGATCAACACAAACAAGAATAGATTGATTATGAGAATTTAGAACATGATATGTCATTTCAATTAAAGCATCGATAGTACACCCTATGTTTTCGTACGTGAGAGTACGTCTTAAGTCAAGTGACGTAAGCTCGGAAATGAAATCGTCTTTAAAAGTATATAAAGTAAGTTAATCATGTTAATTTGGACGTTACAAATACTTAAGATCATGAATACCAAGTACCAATAGGGTTTGAAGGCTTAGAAGCTAAACGAATTGAAGAAAATAAGTTTCGTCAAAAGTCGACAAGTTGGGAATGTTAAAACATGTACTTTTTGGGTGAGACTAGAGTGCTTAACATGACAAGGTGATTATGTTATAAGTTATGTTAGTCGTATGATAGTTGTGTGTTATGTTTTGAAGTTAAGTGAGTTGTGGAACAAAAGTTTGCAAAGGTCATCACAAGTTACATTCATAAATGTACTAAAAATTAGGTCAAATGTAGCCGAGCATTTATCCCAATGTACTTAGAATTATGGGATGATATACCTACTAAATTGAAGATCTGCGAGTCTACTTTTCAACGGTTTAAACTGTTCATTGATACAATATTGGAGTAGAATGATATTCGCATTTTTGCGAGATTGCGCAGACTGGTAGGTGACAAGTAGGTGCATCACCTACTTGCCAAAAGGAGAGGCCTCAATTAAGTCGGCCAAGAGGGGACTTTTAAGGGATACTTAACTCATTTATTTCGCTCATCTTTCAGACCACTAAAACCAGATTGAACCCCAACAACTCCTCCCCAAAAATCCCATACAAACCCTAGGTTATTTCGGGTGTTATGATGTGATTCTAGTGCCGAAAACCCCAGACAACTTGCTGGTTTGTCTTTCACCTTCTTGTAGCTGCGTTGGGTGACTGATTTTTGATGAAGAAGGACTAGGTTTCATGGGTTCTACTTAGTCCAAGGTAAGGTTATGCTTCTCCTTACATTATCTATGGTTGTACGAGTTGTAACTCGATCGTAAAGACTAGACGTAGCGAGTTTCGAAAGATTGGTATGCTGGTTGTTGTTGCGTCACTCTTGGCTGGTTGTGAACTTATTTTTAAGTTGAATTCATGGCTGTTTTATAGGATAAAAGGCTTAATTATGTACTGTTATTTGTGTTGCTCAATTTGAAAGAAAAGACAAGTCGAAACGTGTTTTAGTAAACTGAAAGATCAGTTTTGAGTTGCTGAACTTGTGGGACTATTTTATGGGCTGTTTTGTGTTGCTGTTGGATTATCTATGTTGCTACTGTTTTTATGGAGTTTGGTAGGAGAAAGGGTGTGGAGAAACACCACCTAATGGCAGGGTGGTTGGCTGGTCGTTTATCGTTACATTTTCGGGTTGTTTGACACTACTAGGGTTGTTGTTTTGTGTATGAACTGATTGGGGTGTGTGGGCTGTTTTGTAGTATTTTTTGATGGATATAAGGTTGAAAAATAATTTATACACGTTGTTATTGTTGTGTTCTTGTTGTTGTTGTTGGTGTATGTCAAATTGGTAGGAAGTAAAGATTATAGGGGAGATGCTTCCCGTTTTATTATAAAATAAGCTTGTCGTTCATTGTGTGCAATTGTACCTTCCATACTTGATGATAGTATTGTTATCATTGTTGTAGATTAAGGTGCAACGAGACGAATTTAACGGGGTTATTGGACATATTGTGATAAGGCATGTTAAGGCTAAGCCCTTCCTTCATTTTGGCATGATCTCGTAACTACATGTGTTTGATAACGAGGCACAAAGAGAAGTTCATACTCCTGAATTTATATACATTATCCTAGTCTCATAAGTTACAGTATTCTCCCTTATTGGGAATTTATATTCAATTGAGTATTGTCTTCTTCCAGTCAAGAGAACAGAGGTTATATATATATATATATATATATATAGTATTACAGTATTTTCACCACCATCGAGCTATAATCGGCGGGCAGGCCCCTATTGGACAACCTCTGATCAGATGGTAAGTTATATACCGAGCCTACTGTGGCCGAGCACCTATAAGCGAGTCCAGAATGGCCGAGATACAGAGCCTAGTATGGCCGAGCGCCTATGAGCGAGCCTACTATGGCAGAGCAGTTACACATACCGAGCCTTATAAGGCCGAACAACTATTTTACTTACTATATTGAGAGAGTTGAGTCAGTATTAGCAGGTAAGCCTATATTCATATTATCTTTGACTCCCAGTAACTTTCAGTTATTATATTATCAGTTTAGTTTTAGCTTTCAGTTATTTTGTTGCCTTACATACTCGGTAC